AATGGCAGGGGCCATGTCTTTCATCCATCACTCCATCCTACCTGGGCAGGGTAGTCACTCAATAAATGTATTATACATTTAAATAGGTGGAAAGATGGATGAACACCTCAAGGCACAGGTAGTTTAACCCTGCTAGAAATGACAGGTCATTTGTTGGCTTCCCCATCATAACTCTCATCACATCTTGTTTTTGTTTAATTGCCTCCTCTAGGAGGCCATGAGCTTTGTGAGGGGAGAAAGCATGTCTGTCTTGCTCATTGCACTTCCTAAGTTTCTGGCATAGAGCCAGTACCTCATATATACTCAGCAGTATTTGTCCAGTAAATGATGCAATGAATACCTATCTCTGCATTTCTACATTCTAGCTCAATGATCAGGAACCATTTAAATCTAACTACACTCTTCTTTTGAGCAGGGAGGGTAGGCACAGAGAAGTGGAATGAGGGATTGAGGTGTTTTTACCTTCCAGAATTGTCCTATCTGATGAAGACCAGGTAACTCAGCCCTGGCTGGCTCTTTCCTGGATGACCAGATTCTTGTTAAGAAACAGATTTCCAGGAAAGAAGGAGAGAGAAGGGAAAGACAGAGGATTGTGATGGTTTTGTGTGTGAAGGAATGTGCTTTGTATATAAATCACAGAGGGGATTCCGTATTAGTGAACAAAGCCCTATTGTCAAAACCTCTCCCCACTAATACACCCTGTCTGATGGAGGCAGATGGGAATGCCTCAAGCCAGGGCTTGAGATCTAAATATTCATGAGAAGCCTGTGCACAGGGTAAGCTAAGGAGCAGTGCTATGTGCCTGCTGGTTTATTCCTCACCGGTCTGGGGAAGCAATAGATGGGAGAAATGGATCTCCCTTTGACTGTCATCCATACAGGACCTGGCTTCTTACAGATGGGGGGCAAAACAAGAATTTTATTCCCCTAATTTGGAATCGCCCTCACCGGTCTGGGGAAGCAATAGATGGGAGAAATGGATCTCCCTTTGACTGTCATCCATATAGGACCTGGCTTCTTACAGATGGGGGGCAAAACAAGAATTTTATTCCCCTAATTTGGAATCGTGCCAAGAAAGCCAGGAGACAGTAGGACGCCTGAGCAGATGAATGTACAGCAGGAACTGGTTGATTTCAGCCTTTTAGGAACAGCGGAATAGTAGGGGAGAGTAATTGAATCACGTCCTGTGTGGAGTTGAATGTGTTCTTCTCCCTATTTACAAGCTGTTTGCCAGCCTCTGAGGCATTATTAGGGGATGAGCTACAATAGCACTGCAGAGCTCAACTCAGCTTTCCCAGGAAACAGCTAGTCCAGCTGGCAGCAGCTCTTGACTTGCTCCGCTCCTGCTTATAGGTGCCAAGAGCTGGCTTGCCACTCAGCCAGGAGCCCAGCAGGCCCCGTGGAGACCAATCTTCCTGTATTAGAAAGAAATGAAAGAAGAAGTCCAAGAGAAAAGGAGGAAACTGATGAAGGAATAGTCACAGAGAAGGAAGTTCAGTAACCTGCCCAAATTCACATGGCCAGAAAGTAGCAAGACTGAGATTACCCCCATTGCTCTAACATTCAGCACCACCTCCAAAATTCCAAAGGACACTTAACATTCTGGGAAGAGACAAGGGCTCCTGAGTCAGTTGAAGCCAGGAAATTTGAGAAAGAAATCTCTCGCTCTCTTGGGACCAAGTGAGATCTGAGAAGGTAAAAGTCAGAGATTGAAATCCAGCAGTAGAGGGCCGGCCCAGTGGCGCACTGGAGAGTGTGCCGCTTGAGAGTGTGGCGGCGCTCCCGCCGAGGGTTCAGATCCCATGTGGAGACCGGTTCCCGCTCACTGGCTGAGCACAGTGCGGGTGCAATACCGAGGGTTGCGATCCCGTTACCGGTCAGTAAAAAAGACAAAAAGGAATTAAAAAAAAAAAAAAAAGAAATCCAGCAGTACAGACAGTCAGCAAAGCTGAAAATTAAATGGGGAGGCATAAGACCCTCCACATCCCAAGCACGTCCTCAGATATGCAT